CAGCAACTATATCTCACTTGAAATTTACAAGATAAAGTTACTAGTAACTCATGTTGAATTTCAACTGTCAAAACCACATTTATTTTGATGTAAATGAACATGTTACTGTGAAAAAAAGAGGACATTTCATTGAAAATTAATGGACTTTTCTTGTTTAGACAAGAGCTTCTATCAATAACTTCAGCACCACAGCACATAAGTTTTCTCAGAATCTACAGCATGATATTTGCTTCAGTTTCGAATTGGACAATGGAATCCAAATCTGTCATGATATGATCTTGTTCATATGATGAGAGTGCTCTTCGGCAACAACCATCTCCTGCTTGAGATATGGATCGTTACTTCTACAATCTGTCCACCAGCATAGTGAATGATTGTGTAATGAGGAATCAACAGACTTGGGGGCAGATTCGGCCATCGCAGTAGAAACCAAAGAAGAGAGGCGATCATGTGTTCATTTTTTAGATTAGAGGTTATTGAGTCTTTTGAGCTTCAAAATTAATTGCAGATGAGGCCCAAGGCCTACAGAATATTTTCATGGAGAAATTACACTGCAGGCCCTGAAAATGAAAAGATTGTGGTTTTGGCTCAAAAAAATCTGAAAATGTGCCACAGGCCCAAAGGCCCTTGTTGTAATATTTCTTGAAAGCCAAAGTATAATTTTATCCTTGTGTATAATACAATATTTATGGATGCATAACACAATGTTCATGAATTCTCAAAACAAAATTCATGCATATCCAATCAATTAATAAGTTTAACAAAATGTATAAATTACATAAATAATGTACAATATAATGTTCATGAATTTTTAATTAAATGTTTACGCGTGTCAAGTTGATTAAGGGCAAAATTATACTTTCACCTAAAAAAAAAATTACAACAAGGAAAGGAATGTGGTGCGTTTTCAAATGTTTTTGAGCTTGTAGTGCATTTGTTTTCCTTTTTCAAGGCCCGTTGTGCGATTTCCCCTACTTTCATATCATATTGTGTCATAAACGTAATTATTTTCAATTTGAGGATCCTAGGTGCAGTTCTCCCTATAGACAAAACTTCTTTAAAAAAAAAACAGAATTAGAAATCAAACTCGTCTCTTAATTAACACTAAATTGGTTGAATCGCGGGTTTATTTCTTCTAATTGAAAGCTTAATTAAAATTAAAAATTTTATTTGGGTGAGATTAGTTGTAAATTAAATAAAATTAAAAAATCAAATTAAAACATTTAAATAAAATTGAACAAGTAAAATATTGCTTTTGTACCACCGGATACTTGGATCAGGATGGTTAATGTAGCTTAAACAAAGTTTCAAGTTTGAGTCTTGAAATGTAACAACAATTAAATTCTTGATAGAAAGTGCTGCAAGTTGCCAACCTAATTAATTTAAATAAAAAAACTTAGAAGAGAAAAATAGCTTTTTGGAACACAGACACTATTGTCGGTAAAAAAAAAAAAAAGAAAGAAAAAAGACACAGACACTATTTGCTGCCGATCATATGGGAGGCGCTTTTTTTTTTTTTTTTACCTTCAAAAGGAGGAAGTTGGATATAGTAAAAAAATATGATTTCTTTAAAGCACATTCATCATGTTCCATAATTACTTTAGGGACATAATTATCGTCATGATTTTTTAATTCCCACTTTGTGTTATTAAAATAATAATTAGATCTTAATTAGGTGTGAAACAGTGATTAAGATCCCGTAGATAATGGAAACAACAAACCAGATTAGGCCCACATTATGTCATGCCTTAAATAGTGCGAACGCATTTAATCATTAATGTTAATATGATATTTTTCTTTTTTTAATTGTATTTGAACTATTTGCCATTTTATCAAAAATAATTTTTTTATCAAGTGTTAATTTGATATTTTGTGTTATCATTATCAAACTCATGAGTTTAACTACATTCATGATGATGATATAAACTCAAGTCGTAAATTTACGAGTTTACTTCTATTAATAAATAACTATTAAAAATATAAAATTAAATAATTAAAATATAAAATATAATCTTAATTTAATTTAAATATATTTTAAATTTAAATATAAATTATTAAAATTAAATTCATTTATATTAATAAATTATTATACTCAACATCAAAATTTTAAAAAATCAGGCAACTTATTGTTTGTATTTTTTGTTTTTATTAATATTAGTTTTTATTCTTTTTTTTTAACTAAGTCCTATTACTTCTATGATTCGAGTTTTACATAATGTATACCTAACTCACTCAACACGATAAAACATTAGCTTGAATTTATAAAAAAGTTGACATGATTTTGTAAACTAAACTGTAAAAATAATAAATTTAAAGAGTCAACTTGTGAGTTTAACTAAATTTATATTAATTTAAATTTATAAGCAAATTAATATGATTTTATAAACTACAAACATAAAAATAATAAATTTAAAAAGTTAACTCAAAATTTTGATAGTAATGATCATTTAAATGATTATGGAACTTGAAACATATAATCTATTGTTATTATTAATATAATAGTATAACTTTAAATGCAGACATACGTGAAAAAAAATTTTCCCTTAAAAAATTGCAGCACTAGTCATGGTCAAAATATGCAGCTCCAATTACGTATGCTACTTGTCTCGTATCACGAAGGAACACAGAAAATTACATCAATAATATTTTCACATTTATTTTATTTTTAAATAACAATAAATTTTAATTTTTAAAAATAAGAATATAAAATTATTTTTAGTCTATATATACCCAAGTTTTTTATTTATTCTTAATTAACTTTTAGACTTACAAATTATAGTTTGAGTCAACTAAATGAGATCCCAGGCAAGCTTTTAAAGATTATGTTCAAGTTAAATCTATCTATTAAAGTTTCAAAAGTTTCCTCAACAAATACATTAATTAGAAAATGTTGTTTAAATAATAAAAAAAACTTATATACTTAACATTATATACTTAATATACTTATTTTTAATTAAATTTAGACATGTGATTCTTTTATAGATTATACATTCTATAACAGATTATTATTATTAATATTATTAATACATTAAAGTCCACTTGTTTTAATTTGATTGGATAACAATGTATTAAATATGTAAGACAGGGTACATAAGTCGTATCCCTCAAATAATTATGACTGTATTTAGTCACGACAATCAAGTTCCGTTTAGATACTAAGAAATATGAAAGCATATTATAATATTTAAGGAAAAAAATTAAATACCTTAAACAACATGTATGCCTTGTATGAAGATCCATAGGATGTCTTGCAGTAAAAATAAAATAAAATAAAAGGAGTACATAATTGGCATATAATAACAATAGACTTAAGGCTAATTAAAATTAAGTTGGGAGAAAAATACAAGCCTATCACATTGGTGGGTTCAAACCTTGTTATTATTGATATAATAATACGGGGATGAGAAACTTCGTAATCATTCTTCAAATTGTGAAGCAAACCTCAACCTTAATGCTTAATCAAGTTATCTTTAAAATATTTTTTTTAACAAAAATGGTAATTTTTTGAAGTGAGAATATATTGAAAATGATAGTAAAATCTCGAAAGATTAATTTAATAATTACTGGGTTCTTGAATTTTTTTAAGATGTAAATATTAATTTTTACATTTGCAAACAAAAAATTTAATTATAATCTTGGTATCTTCCTGTTATGCAAGTGGTTTAAATACCTGTTTTCATATCATTAATTAATAAGGCAGTTGTCAGTTTTACAATGAATGTTATTTTGTTGGGCTCATTCTCTGGTGGAAAATTATATCAGACTTGTACAAGGGTTTTAATAAGATAGTTATAAATTAAGAGTTATATTTAGAACTTAAATGTTTTATTTGTAACTGAAACTCTTAAATTTACAATTATTTAAATTAATATTATTTTTTAAAAAAATTCTTCAAAAAGCTAATTGTCATTGATTTATTCTCTTATCATTTTATTATCATACATTCTTTCAAAGATGTTTCTAAAAATACCATTGCACTTTTGTAAAACATAATTTTGGGACAGAATATATTGTATATTAATTATCAGGAAAGGGAAATAGACAAAAGAATTAAGGTAGAGAAAAAGGGCTGAGAGAATTAGAGAAAAATAGATATTAAGAAAAGAGACAAAATTATAGTAATTTTTATTTATTTAAAGACATGTAGTAAATGAATTAAGATTATATTTATTAGCCTTAATCTAACCCTAGAATTAAACAATAATATTATAGAAATTCTAAAATTAAAAAGGTAACCATAATTGTTGGAAGATAACAATAACTTGAAAATTACTATAATTAAAATAAAATTTTAATTAATATTCAATTCTTCTAAATAAACTTCACATTTTCTAAAATAATCATTTATTCTTTTCCTTCAATAATATAAGTCACGTAGTTATTTATTACAATAACTTAATTATTATTTTTCATTCACGTATAAATAATATTAAGGAAAATTTTAAATAGGAAAGGACTTAACTTACTTAATCTTATATACTTTATATTTTTTATCTAAAAAAATTAAGACAATTATTTTTTAATGTATTAATAGTATTAATAATAAGAATTTGTTATCGAACAAATAATACATGAAAATATACTCCCTCCATTCAAAAATGTAAGATATTTTTAATCAAATCTTACCCTCAATAAAGTAGTTACTTACTTTCAAACTAACCCTATTTTTTTATATTCATCCCTATTAAATACCCTATAATAAATATAAAATCATTATTAATAGTGACACTTTTGAAAAAAATATAATGATTATATCTAGAAAGACTAAAAATATTTTATATTTTATAATATCTAACTTTTAAAAATATTTTATATTTTTAAATAGAGAGAATATATATTTTAATATAATCAAAAATAAAAACCGAGGTTTTTTCTTTTAAATATAAGCATTTAAATTTAAATATAATATTAAAGCTTGACCGCGTTCAAATTTTCAAAAGCAATTTTGGGTGGGCCGAACCTTTCATCCACCTTCACATAAGCAAACAGACACACACATTGTATTCTCTCTGAGAAGCCCGAAAAATAATAAATTTCCATTTCGTCTTTTCCTCTCTCTCTAAAGTGAAAAATTCCTGCCTTTGTTTCTAAGTCTATCTGCCCAAAGGCCAACAACAGCATCTAAACCCAGTTTCTTCCTTACTTTCCATCCACAAATTCCTCAACAAAACCGTAATCCGAAAACTTCACGCATCCAAATTCGGCTTCAATTGCTCTGTCAGGGCCCAGAAACTTCATTTTTAGCTCCTTTTTTCACCACCTTCTGCCGCCGCCGTGTCGCCGTCGCCGCCTTTCTTCTCCGTTTGAGGATTCTTCTACCTTGAAGGTGAGTTTTTCTTCTAACCCTTTTCCAGGTCAAAGAGGAATTCTTGCTTCTTCTTCATCTTTTTTTTTTTGGGCAACGAAATTGTTGCTTCTTCTATGTATTTTTTTTTTTATTGGGTAGAATGCTTCTTCTATGTATTGTTAGTATAGGGAGCTGTGTTTGACTAGTCTCTGATGTTCTTCTATTTTTGTCCTCTGAATTGAGCTTTGTTGTAATTTTTTTCTGTTAGAAGTGGGAATTATGTTGAATAAATGGAAATTTTGAATTCTACTTTGTGATCAGGGTCGATGGCTGAACTTGAAAACAACGTTGGGTTCTCCTCGGGGATGACGACGTTTTCGTTGTTCAATCGTTCACGAACAATGAACTCAAACTCACCCCCAACAGAATCGTTTCAGAAACCCTATCTTGAACCCACTCTTGATCGTTCTGGTTCTGGAAACAAATTTTACAATTCCATTGAATCAGTGAAGTCTGCGGGAAATTCTCTGAAAGGGAAAGTGAAGAAACTCTGTAGTTTCTTTGAATCTAGGAAAGATACATCAAAAAGCTACGATGAAGCTTCTCTTCCATCACCTAGTAAGTTAAAGCCCACAAAATCAATTGATTCTGATTCTGGAGTTTCTTCAAGTTTCAGCAATAGCTCTGGTATTAGACTACCCGGAACTGAGGATCGAATTGTGATATACTTCACTAGTCTGCGTGGAATTCGAAGGACTTATGAGGATTGCTATTCTGTTCGAATGATCTTCAGGGGATTCGGCGTGTGGGTGGATGAGAGAGACATATCAATGGATTCAGCATACAGGAAGGAGTTGCAGAGAGTGCTGGGACAGAAGAATGTGACTCTCCCACAAGTGTTCATTAGAGGGAATCATGTGGGAGGATCTGATGTCATAAACAATCTCTTTGAAGTTGGAGAATTGGCCAAGATCCTCGAAGGATTCCCAAAGAGGAAACCCGGGTTAATGTGTGAGAGCTGTGGAGATGTGAGGTTTGTGCCTTGCATGAATTGCAGTGGAAGCAGGAAAATCTTTGATGAAGATGAAGGGATTCTCAAGAGATGCATGGAATGCAATGAGAATGGACTGATTCGCTGTCCAGATTGCGGTTCTTGACCTCGCTTTCAGAACATGACACTGAACACAAACATGTAGACAATTTAGTGTCGGATTTGGATCTTCTCTGAACAATGCTAACTGCTCCTGTCTGAATTCCAGTCTGTTTGCTCGATCCGGAACTAGGAGATGGGCTTGATTCAACGGCTAACGAACGTAATGTGCTGCACAATTACTGGGTTAAAGATGAAGCCAACAGGTGAAATTTCATACAGGAGAGGTCAGTGTGTGGTTTCTGAAAAAGTCAGTCCCATTGGTGGTGTTCACGTGTCTGTTCTGTGATATATCAGTTTAAGTGTTAGTTCAGTTCTTCATAGGTTAGTATGAATTTTGGTTGCTGAGAGATAAATAATCAGCAAAGGAGTTCATTGTGGGTAATGAACTTGTGATTCAAAATTCTCTTTGAATTTGTGGTTGTGTTTTTGGAATCTGTGTCACGAGCTGATGGGATTCAGCTCAATGAAAAAAGCGAGTTTGGGTTTGAGTATGTGTGTGATTGTAATTCACAGGGAGGAGAGGGTCTCTCTTTCGAAGCAGTGTATATATTTAGATTCCTATGGGAAGGATTTGTAGACTCTGGCCATTGTCCATTGTCCATTCAGAAATTTATAATGTGAATGGGTTTCTATTGTACCTTTCTGTTCTTACATGAAAAGCTCCAAACTTAACTTTAATGCCTTTTGATTGGTAAAAAAGTGTTTTCTAAAAAGATGAGAAATTTACTTGTCATATTTTCATTTTAGGTGCATCTTCAATTCTTTTTAGAAAACACTTTTTTGTGTATCAAATATGTTATAGGTTTAAAGTGTAAAAGTATTTAAAAAATTTTCTTTAGAATATTCTGGTATTGTTAAATTAATAATAGTATATAAGTATTCATTAATTTTATAAAAAAAATTAATTTTTTTCAATCTGTTAAAATAACCTAAGTTTTAATGATAAAATTTAATGAATTGGGAAAAGTTTGGCATCTTTTATAAAATTAATGGATATTTATAGATTAGTGATGATTCAAGGATACAAAAAGCTTTCGAAGAAGAAGTAAGCTTATGGATATTTTAATATCTTAATCTATATTATAAAATCCTCATAATTTCTAAAGTAATGTGCTTTTTTAAAATTATTATTGGTGCTTATACCAGTTATAACCTTCCTTTTGCTCTTGATATTACTAAAGATGTTGTAAACTTATAATTTTTTTTTTGCCAGCTTTTAAACTCGTAATTTGGGAAAAATAGGAGAGTTCCTATGTATTATCATGCACAATCTTAAGTATGGCTTATGAATATACCATGACAAGAATAAGATTAATGTTACATTGATCACATGAAGCTAGTATGTTCTATTGACAATCAACTCTTTGAAAATTATAAGGTATTGTTTATTAAATGCATTAAGATACTGATTTAAAGATTAATAATCAAAACAGTAGTTGAATCAGTTATAAACAAAACATTTTATTAAACTGATTAAAATACTGGTTTAATGGTTTAGCAAATAAACTGGCCTAGATTTACATATTATGAAAAATATCATTCATCATGAAAAATTTTATTCTTGGTTTCTTTTGGTTTTTTTTTTTTTTGTCAACAATTCTTGATTTGATTTGATATCTCTTCATAGAGTTTAAGCGCGTGGTATCACAATTTGTGACGTGAAATTACACATGTACTTAACCTTGCTCAACTCGTTTCACTAGTAATTTGAATGCTTTTTTTTTTTTTTTCCATGATCCAAACTATTACCTCCATTTTAAATAATATAAGTATCTTTCTTTCAAGTTGTATGTTTCAGTATGTAAGTATTTTACGGAATTTAAGAGCAATTAGCACCTCTCCACCTAAAATTACAATAGGAGACTAGGAGTATATTAAAATTACTTGTCTTTCATCAAAACAAATAATTAATTATTGATATTCCGTAAAATGTCTTTTACACTGAAACATCTTATATTAAAAATGGAGTATTTTGAATTTTCGTTTTTACTACTTTCTTCTCATAAGATGTCTTGCCAACTTTTTCTTTCATATAATCATTACAAATTTTGTCTTTTTCTTCCATGCAGACAAATTTATATCAATATTCAATATTGTCATCTCTATTATAATTATAAATTTTACGTTTGTTTACTTGAATTCTATTCAATGTAATACTTCATTTGCATCCCTTACTAGTCACATTAAAATAAGAGAAAATTCATAATCGGGTAAAATGACAATTCAGTCCTTAAACATTTCACCCCTAAACATTTAAAAATCATGGCAATCTTGTCCTGTAGCTGACTAAAAATCATAAACAATAACCTCAAAATTAGAAAAAATGACTAAAAAAATCATGGAAAAAGACTTGTAATTTTGGGTCCTTTTTTATAATTCTATAATTAACTAATTATCAAAGTTAATAGTAAAGGAAAACTCATCATAGTTTAAAATGTTTAGAGAAAATTGCATAACAATGAGTTTAAGATTGGATATGTTTCTATGCTTATAATTTAAGGGCTAAATTATTCTTATGCCCTTCATAATTTCATATTAAGTTTGTGAGCATTACTTCATGCTCTCGTGCTATGGCATGATGTGGGAAGATTCTAGTAAATCCAATAGCAAATTGGCTGTCATATATGTTTTTGTTGTTGAAGTTCTTAAATAATAATATTAGAGTCATAATCTTGATGTTTGTGGAGGTCGTTTTTTAGGTGAATGTTTTTCCTTCTTTTAGTTCGATGTAGCCCAAGGATTTGTCCTCGGTTCACGTCAAAGTAGATGATCCTTTGCTGATTTTTGACTTAATACCTTTAAATTAATTTCCAATTTTTTATTTTTTTTACTTCCCCCCCTCTAAAAGTGATTAGTAACATCCAGATGTATGTGTCACTTAGAGAAAAAAAAATTCATTTAATTCAGTTCTTAAATTTTGATTCCAAACAATTAAGGAAATGTTGCATGTAAGATCTGGATTGATAATATTGGCAAAGGAAAAAAAAGATATAATTGATGAAAATATATTTCGTCACAATTTGTATATGTATCTTCGATCAGAGCCTAACTCGGATTAACCAGTCAAACTATCGAATCATTAAATCAGTCTCTTAACTAATTCAATTAAGAGTTTTGGATGGGTTAAATGTGTTGGATTTTCTTCTTCTTTTTTTTTTCCATCTCTATGTTGAGCTTGAAATGAAATCGTTTGAGTTAAAAATAAAATAAAGAAAAACTAGCAATATGTCAAATTTGTGTTGTAGTAATTCTGTTTTACTGGATTATATTTGGTTTATCATTAATGTTCCATTTACTTATGAACTAATACTTTTTTTATTCAAAGATTACTCTTTTTAGGATTATATAGAAATGTTTTAGCATATTTTAATTGAATTATATCACTTTAAACATGATTAGGTTAATCTTGGTTGAACTAACTACGGTTTGGTTTTCGAATACATTATTCTTTACCTAGACAAATTCTTTACTTGTATAATTTTTTTTGGAGAGCGGAAGAAATTTTTTATTGATACTATCTTTTAAAATATTAACTAGAAGTACTAATTATTTTGATTTTTCAATGCCTTGCCACAGACCCAAGGTACCTCTCAGCTCTGACGTCCATTGCTAATTTTATAAGCTTGAATGAGACTTTGCAACCTCATAATCAAAAACAAAAGGATGATATGATCATAAAATTAAAAAATAATTATTTGGTTATGTAGTTTTGGTTAGTTGTAAAATTATAAAAATGATATTTTAAAAAATAAAATTATAAAATTAAAAATATTTTAAAATATTAATCTTTATCATTTTTATAAAGATTAAAAAGGGGTTAGTAATTTAAACTAGGATAAATAAACAAATTACTTCCTGCACTTTAAGCTTAGTAACACTATAGACACTAAACTCATTTGTTGTGCTGTGTAATATGTTTTTTTAATTTTTAAAAACAATATAATCTAGCTACTGCCATTAAATGTTAATTTTGACAATTAATTGATTACAAAATAACAAAAAAAAACATGAAGAGTTAACTTTTCTATGACTTTTGAGGTACTTTTTTATCATTTTTACCAATTAATAATTAAAGTTAATTTTTATTAATGGTAAAGATTAGATTGCACCATATCCAGAAGTTAAGGGAACAAATTGCACAATAAATGAATTTAAATTTTATGGTGCTACTGTACCTAAAGTTTAGAGGGTAATTACTCATTCATCCTTTAAAATATTAGTCCCAAAATTTTAACATAATTTTATTTCTTAAAAGGAAAAATATAGATTTTGGTTCTTATACTTTGTTCGCATTTTGCTTTTAGTTCCTATACTTTTTTTCACTATTTTATGTCCCTATACTTTTATTTTTTTCTTATTTTTAATCTCTTTATAAATAAAGTGTAGAGACTTTGGAGGGATGGAAAACAATAAAAAATAAAGTGTAAGGACCTAAAGTATAAAAAAAGTATAAGAATCAAAAGAAAAATATAAGTAAAACATAGAGACCAAATATTATATTTTTTATATAATGACTAATATTTTAAATGGTTAAAATTATAAAAAATAGTTAAAATTTAAGAATTAAATTAAAATTATAAAAATTAAGTTATAATGAGAAACTGAATATCAACATTACAAGAATAAATAATTATATTTTTTTAAAAAAAATACATGGTAAGCCCATGATTTTTCTGGGGGCGATTGCTTTTCTTTTTTATCTATGACAGAAAAGGCACAACTTTTCAACCCAACTGCTAGGGCGGTCCATATTGTAACAGTGACAATTTTAATTAATGAATTAATTTTATTGATCACAACTTTCCAGCCAACAATGTGTTAGCTTAGGAAACACTATAAAAAATAACAATAAATAATAATAAAATGAAAGTAGAATGGCGAAGTTTAATGAGGGCATTGAACGAAGAGAATGTGATCTGATATTGTGAGCTTTATCTGCCGACCACCGAGAAAAAGGATTTTCCTAATTTCTATTACCACTCGATTCCGCGTTTTGTCAACATCCCACCTGTCACTTTGTAAAAGGCTTAAAGCCAAACACTTTACTCTCAAGTCTCTAGACTCTTGTGGAAGGCTTTCTTATTTAGTTATTTTTCTTAATAAAATAAAATATGAAAATAATTAGGTCTGTCTTTATGGTGTGTAGGAAAATTCATCAAACCACCGAGTAGGGTTTGGCTTTCTATTTATATAAGAATTCGGGTTTAAAAATGAAAAATTTTAAGACAATCAAGCTCCTAATCCCAACCTTAAAAAAGGGCTTTAGGTCCAAGCATCCTCAAAGCCCTATTTAATTTTTTTTCTCCCAACTTAGAATGCATTGTTTAGTAAGTGGAAAAAAATTCTAAATACTTGACCGTTCTATGTTCTTTAGCTCTCTTTGTCTCTGGATTCAACCTCTCCCTCTCTTTTCTTCTAGCTAGCTCACCTCTCAATTCCTCTCGTCACTCTACTCGCCTTTTGGCTCTCTCTATCTCTCAACTAGCCTCTCTCTATTGTCTCTTGACTCAGAATCTCTAGACTCGGTGTCTACCTCTCAACATTTTATGCTTTTCGCTTTTTGACTGTTTTACTGTCAAATAATTCCTCTTTTGGCATAAAATTTTTTTGTAATCTATGAATGTTTAAAATTTCAAT